CAAAGTTTACCTGCCATTATGTGTCCCCAAAACTCCTTGAATGCATTCTGATCACAGTCCATGTTATTTGAATTGGATTCTGTGGGTTAGAGTCCTTGATGTTTGATCATAGCCTAATATTTGAGTTGGATTCTATGGGAACACTTAAGAGTCCATGAATGGAATATACTGGATAGTACAAGAGAGGTAAATTCCTTGGAATGTTAATTAAAAAAACAGAAAAAATGGGTTTGTTCAAATGAGAAACATCTCTGAACTATAAAGTGTTTTTTTCTCATTACGAAAGCAATACAGGTTCATTTTCCAGTAAATATTTTAAAATATCTCCTTTTTCATGCTACCAAGCCATGGCTCATGGGACTTAACTGGATTTATTTGGGAAAACAAATAAACATAAACATAAACACACACACACACACACACTGATTAGCACCACTACACCCTTCCTTCCCGTCTCCAAACTTTCTCTACTTACTTTCCTAATATTTTGCTTAAGTCAGTGTCCCCCAATCTGAACTCCTGTGTACACTAGTGCTAAAAGATGTTAATATATACATGTTCTAGAGAAACAGAGGTTTCCTTATTAAACAAGTTTGGGAATCACTTCCCCTCTGAAAGAGTACACGGCACCTTCAGCAAAAGGTTCCAAGAGGTCCTTCAGTTAAGAAACCTGCTTAAGCCACAGTTTCCTTTGTTTAACTCACCATAGAGTCATTTTGTGGAAGAAACTGTGGGAGAAACATTAACTTGGGCTAACATTAAAATAAGTTTACATTCCCTGAGCATGCTAGCTAAAGATAAAGATAAATGTCCAGGATCTGTCACCGAAGAGGGTTAATTTAGTGGGAAGAGGGAACAGAAAACTAAGAGCTGGCACTATAAACTTGTAAAAGCACAAGAACCAGGACTCCCCTGGTAGCACAGTGGTTAAGAATCCCCCTGCCAATGCAGGGGACACGCGTTCGAGCCCTGGTCCGGGAAGATTCCACCTGCCGCGGAACAGCTGGGCCCGTGAGCCATGGCCGCTGAGCCTGCGAACCTGCACTCTAGAGCCCACGAGCCACAACTACTACTGAAGCCCACCCGCCTAGAGCCTGTGCTCCGCAACAAGAGAAGCCACCGCAATGAGAAGCCCATGCACCACAAAGAAGTGTAGCCCCCGCTCACCGCAACTAGAGAAAGCCTGTGCACAGCAATGAAGACACAACGCAGCCAAAAATAAAAATAAAATAAATAAATTTATTTTAAAAAAATTAAAAAAAAATCAGAAGCGCAAGAACCTTAACAGAATCTTAGAAACCAGAATATTTAAGATATTCGATTGTGACTCTCAGAGTATAAATTGGATTGTACAGATGTACTTCTTCCTTTCAATTTGTAATTTTTTAATTATAAAAATAATATATGCTCATTATAAAATATATGGAACATTCAGAAAAGTTCAAAAAGGAGGAAAAAAACCAGTAATTCAATTACCTAGAGGCAATCAATTTAGACATTTTGGCCACTTTCCTTGTAGTCTTTCTTCCTATGAGTACAATTTAGTCTAAAGAGGAAATTTTTAAGTTATAATAAAGATCTATAAAAAATTAACAATCTAGTTTTTCACTATACCATATTTAAAAATGAAGTATGCTGCAGATGAAACAACAGCATGAGTTGCTAAATCATCAAACATGATCTAAAATTTAGACATTGTCACCTACTAGCTATCTCTCCTGATTTTTAGAATCTCATTTGGCTTCAGTGTTCACATTGTTAAATCTGGATACTGTCAGCTGCCCCATGTTTTTACTGCCAGGATTAAAATCTATGAAAACAGCATACATTGAGCTTAATGAGAATACATACTATGTTCTGTAATACGTTGTCTTCTCAGAACCTTCCATGTAGAATAAGCTAATTTCTAAAAATGAGAGATGGGAAAGTGGCAAAATTAAGGAAAAAGAATGAAAGGAAACAAAGGCTACATATAAAGCTAGAAAATCCAGACAAAAACATATCTCAAAAACCTGAGGCTGAGGACGCTTTGGCATTTCTGAGATATTATAAAGCACTTTCTATTACTCCTGATACTAAACATGCTCTTTTAAAAAGTGTTTTTAAGCTTTAAATTCTTGAAAAGTAGTATGGGTGTAAATAACCAAACTTAATTATAAAAAGTTTGTAATTTCTTACAAGCTAACTTAATAAATAAACAGGTTTCAACAGTAATAGTAGGCAAAGTTTTTTTTAAAAAAAGATCATGGATTATTCTTTTCATTGCTTTATGATAACTACGTATGCTTACATTTAAGCTTGGGTAACAAGTTTTACCTACAAACTAGTATAATGTTATTCTAGAATTAAATAAAATTGTTTTCATGTTCTGATAAAACTAAATTCTAAGTTTTATGGCAACAGTTATGACTTGGAGAGGCAGAATGGTAGACTACTTGGATCAGAAGTTAATAGACCTGGGTTCTATTTCTAGTTCAGACAGTTGGTTAGGTGTGTGACCTTGGACAACTCACAACCCTTCTGAGCCTTGGTTTTTTTCATTCATAAAACAATGATTATATCTGTCTTGCCATAGTAAGGATCCACTGCCACTGTAACAACACAAGAGTCAAATATTAGCTGTCTTTGGCCAGCGGAACTGGGTAGGTTGAGAGTAGGACTTTCCTGTATTTCCTTTTATACCTTAGAAAGTTTATACATGCACAAGTATTATTTACCCCAAAAATAAATTGAATAGGCTGGTAAGATTCAGGACACTTTCAGAGATATAAAAATCTTCAGATTTCTAAACTGCCTTCAATGTTTTTTTTTCAATACTCTGTTCTCAGTTTTGTTATTACTCTTTTCTTCTAGCCTTATCTTTCATAGGATTAATAATTTTTACATCAAATATCAATACATATTTTATTAAAAAGGAATTTAAAAAACTCCTCTCATAAGGCAATACTGATATGCCTCCTGGATAAACTAAGATTATATAACATTATTATTTATATAGATAATACTGCCACAAGTAGAATGGTAATATATTCATGCTTTCTCACCCTATTGTCCTTGAGAACAACAATATTTGTGAGCCTAAGGGTACTATGAATGGTCACAACAGAGAAACGGTAACTAACCTTCACTGCAATCGAAGCTGCGACCTTCGCATGATTTTCAGTGAGTTCATTCAGCTATCCACTCCTATGAGACATGCACCCGACACCCACATTAGTGATGGTTTCTTTTTAAAAGCTATATTATCTTAAATAACCAGGCAATTTAAGATTTAAGTTACACATTTCATTACCACACTATTGTCTTGTACATATTATTTGAATGTCTGTTTCCCTCACCAAGATTATGAATTCACTGAGGACATTAAAATTTGTCTTTTTAAAATCTGACTGAAACAGAAATGGACATGTGAAAACATACTAGCAAAAGCAAGAATACATCTTTTAACAGTTAAAAAATTTACTGGATAATGATTCAAACAACTCCATTTTAAATGAAACCATTAAATGCCCACCCAAAGTACCCCATTAGTAACACAAGACAATTAGTTTTATACATCCATGAGTATCTTCTATATACTTTAACAATTCGATGGAAGAAGGTGTCATCTTCATTTTAGAGATGAGGAATCTGACATTCAGTAAAAGTAAAGAAGTATATTCAAGGTCACACGAGTAACTGGCAGAGTCAAAATTAAAATCTAGGATTGTTCAACTCTAAGGCCCAAGCTCTTTCCATACATGTGAAATTTGTAAAAAAAAACAAAAACAAAAAACCAAAACACCCTATGAATCAAATGTGTTCATTGCTAAAGCAGAGTGAAAGGAGAGAAGCGCAAACACCATTCATAGTTTTGAACTCATATGGTGTTACATATTTTATAGTTACGGCATTTTATAGCTATAAATCTTGTTCCAAATTGGCAGATTCTTCTTATGCTGAGCTCTGAAAAGCACTACACTGAAATCTCATGATGATTTATTTGATGTATTATAGGACTTCTTCTTGAACCCCAGTCTATCCAGTGATATTGGATTTTTAAAAAATTAGAAATCAGTCTATCTAAACAATGAATGCTATCCAAATAAAATTAAGTCACTCGGAAAGAATCATCTCAGGTATCTTTTGCTCCTGTGGGAAATCAAGGATAGGTTGGTTATTTTTCCACAAATCCCAAGTTCTTTTTCAGCCAACCACTCTTCCTCTTCATTCACGTACCAAACCTCAGTGTCTAGCAAGCCTATTTGGAGCCCTAGTACTCAAAGCAACACCTTTCATAATGCCACCACGGTAAGAACTATACCACGGTTTGTCTAAATGTGTTTGCAACTTTTCCCAATGGAACTAGACTGAAAAACAATGGGGAAAACTCTACAACAGAAAAGCGTTTTTCTTATGTCATAAACAAGTTCCGATTGAGACTAGAAAGTGGGTAGCACGAAAAATATCATTGTGAAGGTTTTCATCAGAGACCGGTCTCCCAACATGGAGAACGTGAAGACCCAAGCAAAGCATAAACTTAATGGCCAAGACCTTAGCAAAGATTGTAAGGATCGAATGAAGTATTCAACAATATACTTTAGTTCTAGCTCTTCTTTTACATCTAAATATGCACTTCAGTGAACTTTAGGTGGGGTTTGAATAGGGAAACCTGAATTACTTTCTTCTTAAGGGATATATGTAAAATATCCTATAGAATAAGCATTAATGTACACGCCAGACCTCCAGGAACCATGAACTGAGATTAAGTCTTCCTTCCTTTACCGGTATAGAAATGACAAGATGAAGGCGTCAAGGATGCCAAGATTAAAGGCTTGATAAGGGTCTCAGCTTCCTTTTCTCGAAAGAACATGCCCAAACACCTCGTTCTCTAGCCGGGTCCCAAGGAGGGGCTGGACCCGTACGGGGACCCGGATATGGCTGCCTGTGAGGAGCGCCCGGAAAGTAGAAGCAGACCCCGCTGGGCAAGGCCAAGCAGCAACCACCCTTCCCCCGCTCACCTCTCGGAGCGCAGTTTAACTGGGGCTGTCCGAGTAACTGCCGCCATCACCACCGCCATCACTCTGGGTGCTCGCTAAGCTGGAGAAAGGAGACCCAACCATTCCGGCACCTCATGTAGGTCCTCTAAGACTGATGCCTGCCTGCAAGCCCCCACCTTTCGGTGCGGGGTTCTCATCTCAGACGTCGCAGTCACAGCCTCCACCTGCTTCGCCGGCGCTGCCACCACTTCCGTGTTCGGGTCCCTCCCTTTCTTCCTCACTCCCCCAGCAACCGGCTTTTTCCCAGCCGGCGGGCGCGCAGCTGACGCCACCGCCCAGCGACCTGGGTCGGGACCGCGCCGGGCGTGGGCGGGCCGGCGCAGGCGCAATGTGGGAGCACGCCGAGCGCGGGAAGCTCCGTGCACCCGTGTTGCTCCTCCACCGGTGCTGCTCCTCGTCGCCTTTCCTCGGTCGCGGAGCTTCGGTGAGTGCTCTCTCCCGCTGCCCGCGTGCGTGCGGCCCAACGAAGAGAAGCGTGTCCTCTTCTCGGCTTAGTGTCGGACAGACCCATCCCTATTCCCTGTTTGTGCTCCTCGGGTGGGGGAAAAGGGGCTGCCGAGGGCGTGTCCCGCAGGAGACTAACCTCCCTTCTTCCTGTTCAGCCCCCGACTTTCCTGTCCTTTAAAATAATACTGACTTTTATAAAACATTTTCAGATAAGTAAAGGAAAAAATGCCTGCTACACAGAAGCCGATGAGATATGGGCACACAGAGGGACACACAGATGTCTGTTTTGATGATTCTGGGAGGTAAGGTACTTTGAGAAACAAAAAGAACGTTTCAGGTGTGAATGTTAGAACAGTTATTTTTGTATGTCATGTAAGCAGCTCTGCCTAAAATTACTCATCCAGATAGAAATAAGGTTGATATCTAAAACGGCACATAAATGTTCTTAGATTTACTGTTTAATTCGGACCAGCATGGCAGTTTTAGTATATCAAGAAAGCCAACGAGTGTTAAATCTTACTTCCACAGGAGTTGGAATGATATGAGCTTTCCCCCACATTTCCCCTTTGTTCACTTCCTTCCTGCATCTCACATTATCAGTTATTTTGTCAGAACGGTAGCTGCTTGCTTGTCAAATTTAGTGGCCCATTCTAACTTTTCGGTATTTTATCCTCCCTTGCCTTTTGTGATGCTCTTTTCTTTTTTAAATTGTTTTTAACTTTCTGACAGCTTTTTTTTCTAATTTATTTCCTCTGCTTGATTCCTAAATGGTGATATTTTCTCAGGGTTATTCTAGTCCCTGTTGGAGGGATATAATCAATAAACAATCTGTGTGAGGAATAGAAAAGAGTTTTATTTGAGCCAAACTGAGAACTATAGCCCAGGAGACACAGATTAAAGAAGCACTTGAATTGCATTCTGTCAGACTACAAAATGGGGGAGGCTTATAACAGCACAGACTGCAAAATTACATGTTGTTTGTGAGAATTATAATTGGAATTGCAAGAAGTAAGGGTGCTTGTTAAGTAAGGATTAGGGTCCAATATGGTTGGCTATAAGGGGAGACCTTGAGACCATAAGGTTACAGTTGGCAGCTGCTCTCAGATATTGTTTTGAGAACAGCTGGTGGTGTCCTTGAGTATGATACAGTTCAGAAAATTCAAGTTCTCAGTAATACAGGAACGTGTCTAAAACCGTATCCACAATGGCCACCTAGCTCCATTATTGAATGCCTGAAATGTAGTTACTCCTTTTTGATTTTTTTTTTTTTTTTTTTTTTTTGCAGTACGTGGGCCTCTCACTGTTGTGGCCTCGCCCGTTGCGGAGCACAGGCTCCGGACGCGCAGGCTCAGCGGCCATGGCTCATGGGCCTAGCCGCTTCGTGGCATGTGGGATCTTCCCAGACCTGGGCACGGACCCGTGTGACCCGTGCATCGGCAGGCGGACTCTCAACCACTGCGCCACCAGGGAAGCCCTGTAGTTACTTTTATTCCTACAGTAAATGACAAAACATTGTAGGAAGAATATTCAGACTACTCCAAAAGCCCTTCAAAGGACTTCTTAACTCTAATTCTTCCATATATTTCTCATTAATTCTGCTATTATTTCATTGTAATTTCCCACTGATGTCTCCAACTGGCACCTGTAACATCTCCCTCGGTGCACCTAGCTGATACGACAAATAGCCAGTAGGGACGGGGATATGAAATGCTCCTCCCATCACCACTGGAGATGGAAAGAAATTGCTCTTTCTAGGGGCTCATGTCTGACTCCACTTTTTTATCAGTTAACATCTATTGTCCTTGAAAGGAGGTGTTATGTTACATCAAGAAAGGGTTGGAAAGGGAAAGATGGGTTATCACTGGTTGTCTTTCAGATTTACCTACATATTGAGGTGAGAACACTATTCATTGCACATGTTATACTACCAAACAAGATCATGGCAGAAGCTGGAAGTGCAAAGAAGTCTGTCAAACTCACCAATTTTGATGCAACTAATACTAATGTGTTTTTAAGTGAAAAATCAGGACGAATGCCAAACCAGCTGGATGCATAAATCAGGATTGTCCTGGGCAAACTGAGACTTATAGTCCTCTTATTTATTTCTTATAGAACCGAGACCAAGCTCCTTACTCTGGCCTTAAGGTCATCTTAAATAGGATGACCCCAATCTACTTTTTTTTCCCTCAATTTCCTGGCCTGCCTGCTCCATGTAAATTCCCCTATGCTTTACTAACTTCATATTTTGGTTCATGTAGTTTTGTCTGTTTGGAACTGTCCTGTTCACCAGTCTCAGCATATCCAGTCCTACCTGTCCTTTAATTTCCCAATGTAAATACTTTTCTTACGAACCCTTCTGATTCCCAAGTGGGAATTAATTTTTGTCTTCTGAACATCCATAGTTTTTTATATGGCTTCTCTTTGCCACTTACCTTTTTTAAATTATTATTTATTTATTTAGGCTGCACCAGGTCTTCATGCAGGACCTTTGTTGCGGCATGTGGGCTCTTAGTTGCAGCCTGCAGGTTTCTTAGTTGTGGCCTGTGGGTTTCTTAGTTGCGGCATGCATGTGGGTTCTAGTTCCCTGATCAAGGATTGAACCTGGGGCCCCTGCATTGGGAGCGTGGAGTCTTACCCAGTGGACCATCAGGGAAGTCCCACCATTTAGCTTTTTTTTTTTTTTTTTTTTTTTTGCGGTACGCGGGCTTCTCCTGTTGTGGCCTCTCCCGTTGTGGAGCACAGGCTCCGGATGCGCAGGTTCAGCGGCCATGGCTCACGGTCCCAGCCGCTCCGCGGCACGTGGGATCCTCCCAGACCGGGGCATGAACCCGTGTCCCCTGCATCGGCAGGCAGAGTCTCAACCACTGCGCCACCAGGGAAGCCCCCCCTTTTTTTTTAAATGTGAAAATCTCGTTTTGTGTGTGTGTGTGTGCGCTTTCTTATGACATTAGCTTATTTTCTTTCTTTTTTTTTTTTTTTTACATCTTTATTGGAGTATAATTGCTTTACAATGGTGTGTTAGTTTCTGCTTTATAACAAAGTGAATCAGTTATACATTATACATATGTTCCCATATCTCTTCCCTCTTGTGTCTCCCTCCCTCCCACCTTTTTTTTTTTTTTTTTTTTTTTTTTAAGTACCAGTGTTTTATTTGGGTGATGCAAATACAGAGCATTGAGAGTGAGAAAAGGGACTCGACGCAAGGAAGAATGGGAGGCAATGCCAGGTGATAGGTTGAGTCTGCTTCATGACAAGCCTGGAAGAGGCACAGAAGGTGTGTTCACTGGCTACTTAGGAGGTCTCCCCACTGGGAGAAATGGTGTCTTGCACCAGTTCAGGGAAGGGAGGGAAGAAGAGGGAATTTGTCGGCCTGGATTTCTCCCATCTCCCATTAGTCAAATGTTACCCCAGGAGCACTATTCCACATTCCTGGGTTGCTAGTGGCTACTTGAGGTGCCAGATCCCATGTCCTGTGGGGGCATTCCATCCAAGTCTGGAAATGATGGGAGGAGGCAAACTCTGGACATGAGGCTGGTGAGTGCCGGAGAGAATCTGATTTTGTACGTAAGATGTGTTCACAACAGTCCAATACTGTTTTTCTTTTACCAGAAGAGGGAACCTGACGTAATGATCAAAAACCTTTCCCAAAGTCACATGGCTAGTAAGTGGTAAATTCAGGATTTGAACATAGTCTGTCTCTGGAAACTGTCAAAGACCAAGATAAGGAACTTGGATTTTATGTAGCAGGCAAAGGAGAGTGGCTAAAGGGTTTCAAGCTGGGAGTGACATAAGATAAAGAGCTTTTTATAAAGCTCCCAATCTCTACTTTGCTCCATCTTCCCATGTGGCTGAACTTGGCACAAAAGTAGGTGGCCGCAGAGATGTGAGGACACCCAAGACAGTTTTTGAGGAGCCCCGACTAGGTCCAGAGCTCATTGGGCGTCCACACTGTCTCATAATCTTTCTGTCTTCATCAAAGCCTACACCTACCAAAGAGACTAGCTGGTCAGAGGCAGGCAGGATCTGAGCAGAGAAGCCAAAATGAGGGGAAGAGCAGATTGACCTAAAGACCAGGAGCAGGAGGACCAGCCATACGTCCACTGTCAGCCAGTGGGTCTGGGGATGTTGGCACCTGCATACAAGTCCTCTGGTGTGCCTGTCGGCCACACTGGTCACATTTATGTGGTCGGTATTTGGTGTGTATCCAAGTATGTCTTCTAAGTTCATTGGAACGGAGGAAGGACCAAGTACAGTCTTCTCACGTGCATTTATAGGGCCTTTCACCTGTGTGTTTGCGTTGGTGACTCACGAGGTGGGGGTGCTTAGTATAAGCTTTTTCACAGTTCTCATAGTCGCAGCAGTAAGGCCTTGAAACTGGGGATCTCCTCCTGGGAGCCCTTTCTTGGGCCCCGGAGTACTACTCTGCTCTCCGTGGAGCAGGTAAGGGCTGCTTAGGTAGGAAGGGGTCTTCCTGGGAGACTGGCCGGCTCACAAAAGAGTCCTGGGATTCCAAAGCCAGCAATAATGGGGATCCAGCTGGGGGCATTGCAAAGTTGTGGGGTTTCTAGGAGGCAACATCTGATCCAAAGAGGGGAGCATTGCCGGGGCCTCAGTGGAAGGCATGGTTGGATCCAATAATGTTTTAGGTGTTAAAGGGCCTCTGTTAAGAAGTTACTGTTGGGAGGCCAGAATAAGGCACTGTTCACATTCTGATGTGGGACATCATTGGGATTCCACTGGCAGGTGAGAACTGGCGGCCCATTCGGGGGCATCCTTAGATTCCCACCAAAGGTCGGGGCCACCCCTGGAATACTGGGCTCTCCTAAGGGCAGCACCTGGGGCCCCTTGAAAAATCATCATTCCTGGCTGGGAAGGAGACATTCCCTGAGTGTAAATCATCTGGGAAGGAGTGAAAGTCACTTGAGGGCAGTAGCTCACACCGTGGTCAGGCAGCGACATACTGAAGCGTGGCCCCATTTCACTGGCATTCTGCCTGGGTGCCTCAGCAGAGGCCAAGGGGCTCTTCTCCAGCTCTGTGCACTGAGGAACATGTTGAATGCCTGATGGGCCATGATTCCAAGAGGTGTGCACTCCACTGCTTCTGGGAGATGAAGACATGTCCAAGATGGACATTGACTTCTCAGTATCCTGAGTGGGAATGCTGTGGGCAGGTCTCTGTGAACTGGTGCAGAGCCACATGCCACTGGCTTAGGCCCTTGGCTCCCTGCTCCATCTTAACCTGGGATCAGTTGCACATCGAGACTCCACCATTTACCACTTTATTTTTGTATTTTATTTGCTTTTGTATGTGCCCAGAGAGGACACATACCGAATGAAGAAAAGCACTCAGAAAATGATTTGGGAGTTGACAGATAGCCATTTGAGTAATCAGCTTTGGATAATTGAGCTCTTCCATTCATCCATTTATTCATTCAACATTTATCAAAGCTTCTATTTGTTAGAGACTAGTTTGTGCTAGAGACACAATGGTAAGCAAAGTAGACCTGGTCCCTGTTGTTACAGAGATTACATTCATTTTTCTTACATTGTTACAAATATATAAGGAATTTTATGCCAAGGAGAAACTGAAGAAAGCATAAATTTACCTTTCATTTTACAGAATAGGAGGTTAACAGTCCTTGTTATTGAGGTTTATGTACGTAAAATGAGGAAACATATTGACTAATACCTTGATTTTATTAGAAAAGAGATAAAGTAGCATTCCAAAAAAATTAATAAGTGTAAAACTGGGTGACTTTTTAACGAGTGTGTTTCCTTCACAGTTGTATTGTAACCTGTGGAAGTGATGGTGATGTGAGGATTTGGGAAGACTTGGATGATGATGATCCTAAGTCCATTAATGTTGGAGAAAAAGCATATTCATGTGCTTTGAAGGTATTAAAACAATTACAGCAACTGATATGAAATGATACTGCCATGTGATGTTTTATACATGAATGAAAACTATTTTTATAGAAGTTTTGAATACAGATAAACTTTTTCATTTCTCTTATGAAATAATAATATTTAAAAATGTGTAATAATGCCATAATTTGCCCAAAACTTTTACGGGTAAAATCTGAATGGTTTATTAAAGGTGATTAATGGATAGTAATGATGAGCCACTTAAAATATATGCAGGAAATTATACTTTATCTTTTAAGAGATTTAAATGTATCTTTTTTTTCTTTGAAGGAAAACTCAGTGCAGTTTCAAATTTTTAGCTCACTAATTCAGATAACTTGAGGAATTGTACTGGAAAAAAGGACTATTTCATTAACTTTTTCAAGATATATACTTATTTCACATTTCTAATGTTTTATGTAAAGTAAATATAGGAATGAGATGTAGTTTACTTGGAGAATGGAGATATGTTTTCAGAAGGACTTTGCAAACGAAGTATCTAACCTTTTTATTTGTGATGAATTTTAAGTTGAGTGTATTGTATTTGGATAGGAAAAAAAAAATCTTTCTACAGAATTCATATTTTTTTCAAACCCAGACTCATTAAGGTAGATGAGATGGTCTTTAGATACTTTATATACTTTTTAAAAAATGTTCATATATAATGGAAAATGTATTCCTAGGAGAAAAAATATAAATGACTAATGTACATTAAATATGAGCTAAATCTCACTAATAAGCAAAGAAATACAAATTAAACAATTGGATTTTTTTTCTTGTAAGATTGACAAGGATGAAAAATATTCCTGATCCCAGTAATAGTGAGGGCTTGGAGAAGTATTTATAAAGGAAAAACAACTGTTCTCCTGTGTTTCTCCTTTACTCTCACACTACCATGCTCACAACACTTCTGACACCAGATATGTGGGGTTTCCCCCATATCAGTAACTTCTTTGCAATACTGGGTGTCCTACAATTCAGTTCAATTTTGACATTAACTGGAGTTAGCTCAGACCTCACAGGTTAAGGTCTCAGTCCCATGAGACTATCCCCCACTTCAGACACCAGTCACGAGTATTAGGTCCCCAGATTACCTACAACTTCTGTTCAGCTTGGCTGCAAATGGGGATTTCCATGACCCCCTCCTTGGATAAGATCATTTGCAACAACAGCTCACAGAAATCAGGGAAATAAGTTTACCAGTTTATTACATAATAAAGGATACAGATGAACAGCCAGATGAAGAGAACATGGGGTGAGGTCTGGAGAATGGAGATGTGAAGTTGGGGTGCACCACCAACCTGGAAGCTCCTTGAACCCCATGTTATTGGGATTTTTATGGAGGCTCATCACATGGGCATGACTGATTATTAAGTTCATTTCCAGCCCCTCTTCCCTTCCTGGATGATAGGGGTGTGGGACTGAAAGTTCCAAGCTTCTGATCATGACTTGATCTTTCTGGTGACCAGCCACCATCCTGAAGCTATCCAGGAGCCCACCAAGACACACCTCATTAGAACAAAAGGCATTCCTATCACCCAGAAAGTTCCAAGGGATTTGGGAGCTTTGTGCCAGGAATCAGTCAAAGACCAAATTTTGGAACAAAAGGTGCTCCTGGTGCTCTTATCACTTAGGACAGTTCAAGGGTTTTAGGAGCTCTGTGCCAGGAACTGAGGGTAGAGACCAATATATATTTTCTGTTTCACAGTATTTTCACACAACAGTTGCTGGAAGTATAACTGATGGACTTTTTTTGGAATAAATTGATAATGATGTATCACAGTTAGAATGCACACAGTCATTTCTGTCTATTTACCCTAAGGAAGTACACACATTCATTTGTGTGGACAAGAATATTAGTAAAACCATTATTTATAATAGCAAAAGAAACAATTGAAGTGTCCCTGAATAGAGAATACATTTTATAAATTTTGGTAGTCATATAATGTAATACTATGCAGCCACTAAAAAAATGCGGGAGTGCTGTATACCTTCATTTGGAAAGATGTTTACAATTAATTGAAAAAATGAAAAATAGAGTTTCATAGCAGTCTGTTATAGAATAGTCTTATGTTTGTTAAAATAAAGGATTTAAGTACACAAATATTTGTAATTTGCAAATGTATAGAATAAAGTTAAAAAGACTTAACCCCAACATGTTAATGGAAATTACTTCACAAGAGTAGGGAAACACACTGTCTGCTCAGGACAGTTTCGTGTTTTTTTTCCCTACAATAAATATGTACTGCTTTTGTGTATGAAAAAGACTTTAAAGAAGAAAAAAATGAAAGTGGGCTTATGGTAGTTTCCTAGGGCTACGGTAACAGGTACCTGGGCTTAGGATTTAGACATGTCTTTTAGGGGCCACTATTCAACTGACTACAAGGCTCATATTCAGTGCTCAAATGTTTGGCTTTAGGAATGGAGTTTATAATTCTTCAATGAAATGATGTTACCAAATAGCCATGCAAAGTTGACAATTTCATTTAAAGCATAATTGCTTATAAATGCGTAAATACGTACTTTATGGATTCAGTGCTATAGGGAAGTACAATTAGGTGCTTTATTTGAGAACAAAGCAGAAAAAAAATCACCCTCCAAAATAGTGAAACTGGGATATATCAACATATTTGTAGGTAGTAATACCTTGCATACTATTTTACGTTGCATGCTATTTTACGTTGTCTTTAACAAAGGTAAGGAGAGGTACGTGGAATTATCTCCATTTTATTCTTGGGAAAATCAAATCTCAGAGGAAAGTCAAATGACATAGTAAGGAACACAGTGGGCCCATGTCATCCTGTGCTGGGTTCCATTCCTCCCTATCCACCAGGGAGAAGAATAGTCTGACCAGATCTGGACCACAGCTCTGATCCTTTGCATGGTTTCTTTTTTTAAAATTTTTACTAGTTGATACCATGTACTGGTAGTGATTTGGTTTCCCAGTAGATTTGTTTGAAAATGACTTCAAAGCAAGGCCTTTTTTCAGGTCTCCCAGGTGAGTTAGTGCTGTTATATACTTTAACATTTTCACATGAATAGAAGGCTAGTTAAAGTTTTGTTAAAGAATTACCAAGATTCTTTACTAGAGCTAACTGAGGATGCTTAGTATTCTACTAAGAAATCTGTCTGCAAAGTAAAGCACAGCCAAGGTTGCAAAATTTCTGTACATGCACACAAATAAATAGTTGGTGTTTCTGCAGTTTTGCTAAAGAGCACTTAGCAGTATCAGTGTTGAGTTGGTTATAGCATTTTGTTGATTCTCTTCTGGTTTTCACATTTAAATTATTGTTAGCTTAACTTCAACATTATGAATTTAGTTTATTATGGATTTAATTATATACAGTAGTTGCAATGTAGGCATAAACAGTGTTTTTCACCAGTTTTCCAGTAACTGAACTTGAAGGTGTTTATCACAGTTCAAATTTGAATCATCTATACTGTTATTTGAACAGATGTATACATTTCCCCAAATGTTGCTATATAGTAACATGTCATTGTATTACCAGGTTCTTTTCCCATTAGAATGGGAGCAGATGCTGTAGATAAGCTAAGGGTCCTAAGTGCGCAAATACGGCTGAGACCTTTTGCTATAGGGTAAAGTATGTTCATTAACAAACTTGAGTAGTTTGTTTCTTTTGGTAGTTATCATTTAATATAAATTAATAAATTGACCATATGCTATATCGAATTGTGTATGAGGTTGGTAGACTATGATTTAGTCCATCAGGACTTAATTCCTCCTGGGTAAGTAATAAAATTAAGGTGGTAGGGCAGATCCCTGACCTTTTATGATTCTTAGCTAAAAGCTGTGCAAAACAACGGTGTTTGCAGATCATTTCCGGACCCTAAAACTTTCTATTTAGTGTTTTTAAAACACTAAATAAACACTGCGCTTCCACTGCAGGGGGCACAGGTTCGATCCCTGGTTGGGGAACTAAGATTCCGCATGCCCTGCAGTGCGGCCAAAAAAAAAAAAAAAACAGAAGCCATGGATTCATGGATTCGCATTTAGACTTTACCCTACTCTGAAAACACATCTAATGATTGTTTTCTGGAAACAGGGCAATACTAATAGTGTCCATTGTGCTCTTCCCTCATTGAGATTAGCTATGTTTTCTTGTTCTGAGTCTCCTTCTTATGACATTTGGGAATCCACAAAAACACTATTTAAATATTTTTCTTGCCAGAAGTACAAGAGAAATCAGAGGCTAAAAGTTTGGCTGATGAAGAGGGAATTAAATTTTCTAAAGGCAGCAAGTAAATTTTTCTTGCTAATAGCCATTTCAGAAAAATTATATATTGATTATTTTTCTCTTGACATGAACTACATTTATGTTTTTTTTTGTTTTTTACCGGATTTTTAACTGTGGAGAGGCTCCCAATTAATTAACTAATTTTTGCCAATGTTTCTTTCGTTTTTCTTTTAGAATGGGAAATTGGTCACTGCAGTATCTAACAATACTGTTCAAGTGCACACGTTTCCTGAAGGAGTTCCAGATGGTATATTGACTCGCTTCACCACAAATGCAAACCATGTGGTCTTTAATGGGGATGGTGCAAAAATTGCTGCTGGATCTAGGTAAGGCTCTTTGATATCAGAAAATGAAATAATATTAGAACAAAATGGCCTCATTCATTGGATTCAGGGTAACATTTTCAGGACTCTGTACCTTCTTTGTTATTGTTATTTCATTATTGTATTCAAGTCTTCTTTCTGGTAAAGGTTTTTGATGACAAACTTGTGCTTCTATGTGAATTGAGGTATATTGCTTTGCCGACAGCCTGCTCAGTAAATGCTGGAAAAGACTGGGGAAAGATGGTAGTTGGATACAAAATTTTAAAAATTATTTCTGGTACAACCTAGACTGTACAATCAGGATTTTTGTTGTTTTTCTTGTTGCTTATTTGTCATAGGAAAAAAATGTAATTGATGAATTGCTGAGTTGGAGTAAAAGGCATAATGCTTTTAAAAATGGTTGTGGCTGTAATTAGATTAGCAAATAAAGGAAGCTTAAGATCTAACTAAGGAAGCCACTTTCTAAAAGTATTTATATTTTAACATATGAGAAATCTTGAGTTATGTTTTTAGCATCTTTATAGACCAAAACTAAAAGGTAATATGGGTGCCAAATTTCACATGTTGCTATAAAGAAATTATGGCATTTACTCATTACTTTGAAATATTTGGGTCATAGCTTTTGAGAGCCTTTTGTATTGACATTTATTGATGTAACATTACTCTTGTTCTTAGTGATTTTCTAGTCAAAGTTGTGGATGTGGTGGATTGCAGCCAACAGAAAACATTTCGAGGACACGATGCCCCTGTTTTAAGTCTTTCCTTTGACCCTAAGGACATCTTTCTGGTAATCATTTTTTTCCCTCTCTTTTTGCATTTTTTGTGAATATGTTTAAAACTGTGAGAGAATTAGCAGAAAGTTTCACACAATTGTTAAAAGCCTCTTTAATTTATCAGTTGAACCAGTCTCCATATAGTATTATGGCTGTAACTATAGAGAAATCTATTGTTTTATTCTGCAGGCATCAGCTAGTTGTGATGGATCTGTCAAGGTGTGGCAAATTTCAGATCAGGTAAGCTCATCAATTTGAATTTAAAGCTTTTTGCCTATTTCCATCATATATTGAACGTTACATAATGTATTATTGGACCAAATTAATAATTCTTCTTCATAGTTTGTTTCTTTTGAGTAGCATTAAATACTGGTTTTGTGATCAAATTCCCCAACAATCTAAGCAAAAGTAAATATGTTGAAGACTAATTGATTCTGTATCTAATCACAAAGGGAAATTCAGTCATTATATATTTATAAGCTAACTACCATATATTGGTCCCCAGGTGTTGGGGATATGAAAGTAAGGCATGGGCCTCACTTGATTTGGAGAGTCACATAACTTACTCTGACCCAGCCTGGTAATAGCTTTAAAGGAGGTATGAAGAAAATGCTTTCTGGATTGGCAGAGGGAACAATGAATTCTTCCTGAGGCAATCAGAGAAGGCTTGGCATTTCTTGGAATGATGTAGCTGATGAGAAAAACATCCCTCACAGATATGCTTCAGCTCATAGCCACAGTTTCTTCCCTCACTTTTGAACTATTTAAAAGGATTGACTTTGACACCTTAACATTTCGTAGTAGATCTCTCAAGTTTATTTTCATAGTTACTTTAAGGTTTTAATGTATTGGGGTTTTTTTGTTTGTGTACGTTTATTCAGTGAGTATACTGGTTGCTTATTCTACATAGGAAATACTCCTATTTGAGTTAATTATTTAAGACTTGTGCTCTTTATAACTGTGAAAAACATAAAGTAACTTAGGTAAATCAAATATTATAATTAGGTTAAAGTGAATTAAGTTGCTTTTTTCCGAGCTATCTGTCAGTTTGAAGAAACCACTTATTAAATGTACTCAGTGCTGCGTATCTTTTTTTGGGAGAATTTTCATAAGGGGAAATAAATTTTCTTTTTTTTCTTTTGGCATTTTATTTTTCATTTTTATTTATTTAAAAAGATTATTTTTCAGTCACAAGACTTACATGTTCTTTTTTTTTTTTTAAATCAGACATGTGCTATCAGTTGGCCACTGCTGCAAAAATGCAATGATGTGATAAATGCAAAATCAATCTGCAGACTTGCTTGGCAGCCAAAAAGTGGGAAGGTGAGTGACTCTTATTTTGTTTTTTGTTTTGTTTTGTTTTTTAAATATTTATTTATTTACTTCTTTGGTTGTGCTGGGTCTTAGTTGCAGCACACAGGCTCCTTAGTTGTGGCATGCGAACTCTTCAGTTGTGGCATGCATGTGGGATCTAGTTCCCTGACCAGGGATGGAACCTGGGCCCCCTGCATTGGGAGCACAGAGGCTTAACCACTGCACCACCAGGGAAGTCCCTTATTTTGTTTTAATTATATGTTCCAGTCCTTGTTATCTTTGAATGTAAGAATAGTTTTTTTAATTGTAACTATTTCATTTAGATTATAAATTTTTGAGCTCCAAGCAAATTAATTATTGAAATGCTGTAAGAAACATTTCAACTTTTTAAAGGTTCTTTTTTGAAGAGTACATTTGGCAGGAATGAATTTGTTTTACCTTTTTCTTTACATTCATGTTCTTTTTTTTTTTTTTGTGGTACGTGGGCCTCTCACTGTTGTGGCCTCTTCCGTTGCAGAGCATAGGCTCTGGACGCGCAGGCTCAGTGGCCATGGCTCACGGGCCCAGCTGCTCCGCGGCATGTGGGATCTTCCCGGACCAGGGCATGAACCCGTGTCCCCTGCATCGGCAGGCAGACTCTCAACCACCGCGCCGCCAGGGAAGCTCTACATTCATGTTTAATAGGGCAACTTTGGAAACAGTCTTGTTATATCAACTCTTATTACTAGTGTTTAACATTTTGGAGGTACTAGCTGATACACTTAGACAATAGAAAGATATGAGAGGTTTGAAAGAAGGGAAGGAGAATGCTCATTATTTGCAAATGAAATGCTTGTATACAAGGAAATCCCAAGAAAATCAACTGGGGGAAAAATATTACTAATAAGAAAATTCAGTAAGGTAGTTGGAAGCAAAAGTAATATACGAAACCTATAGTCCTATATACAAACAGTAGCCATTTAGAAAACATGGTGAGAGAAAATAATGCACTGTGAAATCAAAAAAGATTTTAAAATTTAAAAAAAAGATAAAATAAATAGGAGTAAACTTACCAAAAAATGTGAAAGAGCTATGTAAAGAAAATTTAAACATGCTACAAAGAAGAGTAAATGAAGACTTAAATAGAAAAAATGTATCCCATTCTTTTTCGTTATTTATTTATTTATTTATTGAGGTATAGTTGATTTACAATGTTATATTAGTTTCAGGTGCACAGCATAGTGATTCAAAATTTTTATAGATAATATTCCATTTAAAGTTATTATAAAATATTGGCTATATTCCCTGTGCTATATAATATATCCAAAAGGGTAAGCTAAAAAGCGTATTTATTTTATACATAATAGTTTGTACCTCTTAATCCCCCACCCCTGTTTTGCCCTACCCCCTCCCCTCTTCCCACTGGTAACCACTAGTTTGTTCTTTATATTTCTGAGTCTGTTTCTGTTTTGTTATACTTATTCATTTTATTTACTTATTTTTATTTTATTTTTTAGATTCCGCATGTAAGTGATAACATGCAGTATTTGTCTTTCTCTCTCTGACTTATCTCACTAACCATAATACCCTCTAGGTTCATTCAAGTTGTTGCAAATGGCAGCGTTTAGAAAAACACAGAAAAATATATCCTATTCTTAGAAATGAATTTTTGTTATAAAGATGTCAGTTCTTCCCTGAATTATCTATAGTTTTGAAGCATTCAATATAAAATATCAGTAAGATGTTTGGGGGACCAAATAGAACTGATTCTAAAGCCATATGGAAAAGCAAAAGTCTTGAAAAACAAAAGTGGTAAAGTCTAATTCAATCAGATATAACATTATAATGCTATGGGAATTAAAAGTGTGATACTAATTCATGAATAGACAGATATCTATTAAACATAGAGATAAATCCAGTATATATGGGAATTTAGTGTATTATAAAGGTGGAGAAAAGGAGATTTAATAAATGTACTGGCAAAGGGCATGAATACCAGGAGGTGAGAATTACTGAGAACCATCTTGGAGACTTCCTATCACATGGTGAATCTCATTGTATAGGTATTTGCTGTATCATCTTTTTTTTTTTTTTTTTTTTTGCCGTATGTGGGCCTCTCACTGTTGTGGCCTCTCCCATTGTGGAGCACAGGCTCCGGACGAGCAGGCTCAACGGCCATGGCTCACGGGCCCAGCCGCTCCACAGCATGTGGGATCCTCCCAGACCGGGGCACGAACCCGTATCCCCTGCATCGGCAGGCGGACTCTCAACCACTGCGCCACCAGGGAAGCCCTGCTGTATCATCTTTTTAACTTCTCTGCATATGTGAAAATTTCCAGAAAAAATTTATGAACTCAACAATATGAAAAGTAAAAAAATAAATATTTCAGTGTCAAAGGACAAATGATAAACTGAGAAAAAGTTTGAAACAATATGACAGAGCTAATTTCCTTAATATTCAAAGAGTTCTTATAAATCAATAAGATCCCAGTAAAAAGATGAACAAGGACACGAGCAGACAGTGTACAGAAAAAGATACACAGATGGCTTTTAACATATGAAAATACATGCAACCTTTCATACTAAAAGAAATGCAAATTGAAATATGATTTTCTATTTTTCATTTGTCAGATGGTCAAAGATCAAAAGTTTGATATATACTGTGTGGAAGAGGATGTGGCAGTTTTTATTAGAATGAATGACCAGTAGTACTAGTTCTAGGCATATATTCTATAAGCATATTTATTCATACGCACTACAGAGTATGTATAATGAAAATGTTGTATCGTTGTTTATAGTAGCAAAAGATTGTAAACATCCTGAATGTTCATTAATAGAGAACTGGTTAAATAAACTGTGGAATTTATTCCTGAAAATGGAATACTCTGCAACTGTTAGAATGAGGTATATCTGTGTGTCTTCACATGGAATAATCAGTCTTTAGATATATTAAAAACATCAAGCTGTAGAGAAGTAGGTATAGATAGTAGACAGAATGCTACTGTTTAATTGTGTGTCTACTTGTGTATAAGTACATATGCATTCTTATATGGTCTATGCTTATGTTTTTTGCCTTTGGGAAGTAGGAATAGGATTTAGGGATTGGAGGGAGACTTTCTTTTCAATGTATGACCTTTTGTGTCGTGTAAACTTTTAAGGGTACATTCTGCACTAAAGTGATAGTTGGGAAATCCAGTATGTATTTCTTCTTTGCTTATGAAACATTAATTAATCTAATTTAAAAAAATTTAAACATAGTTTTACTATTCATAAATAATACATTTTTCGTTTTTTGATAAGCATGGAAAGAATATGTCAGTTTTATTTTTTCTACTAATCTGTTTTTTGGAAGTATATGTAAGAAGATAAGTTTCCTTTTTCAAATATATTCAAAGTATTTTGGCTCTGTTTCTCTCCTGCCAGCAAATAAGATGAATTTTTAGATCCAAAGGGCTTATATTCCTTAAGAAATAGTATTAAAAATATTAGTGACTATAAGTTCTCTGTCTTTCAGTGCAAGTAATAATGATCATCTCCCATTCTTTTTTTTTTTTTTTTCGTGGTACGCGGGCCTCTCACTGTTGTAGCCTTTCCTGTTGCGGAGCACAGGCTCAGCGGCCATGGCTCACGGGCCCAGCCGCTCCGTGGCATGTGAGATCTTCCCAGACCGGGGCACGAATCCATGTCGCCTGCATCGGCAGGCGGACTCTGAACCACTGCGCCACCAGGGAATCCCCATCGCCCATTCTTTATCAAAATTTTAAGTAGCTTTCTGAGTTTTGTTAGTTGCCCATTAAAATACAAATTTGCTTTTATGTTTTTTAGTCTTATTTAGATGAATTTTCTGCTTTTTTTTCTCTATAAACTTAATTTAGTGTAAACTTTTGTTTAAATCATTTATCTTTCCTAATAGTTACTAGCAGTTCCTGTGGAAAAATCTGTTAAGCTATATAGAAGAGAAACTTGGAGTAATCAATTTGATCTTTCAGATAATTTCATCTCTCAGGTAGGTTTTGTAAGTGATACTTTCAGTAGGCTAATGGGAATAGTTAATGCATACTTTGCTTTAATACAATTACAGCTAAATATTGTTGGAAATGGAGAACAACTCCGGACTGCTGTGCATGTGTCCACCTTCTACCCCTCAGCCTTTCTTCACTTAGTGAATAACTAGTAGATAAGTCTTTGCTAGGTCCTATCTGACCTTTCTCCTTTGTGAAATTTGGTAAGAAAAATCTTTTAATTTATAAGAAGTCAAATTTAACCCTAGCATAGTATTAGAATAGGTAATTCTCACATTATTAGTAATATTTATTGTTAAGTGAGTTTCATTGAGACTTGTGACTATGGACACTGGAGTTTTAGAGCAGGAAAGGTTGTTAGTCTGTGTTTCTTTCTCTCTCTCTCTCCCTCCCCCCGCCCCCTTCTCTCATATATACCATTTTGCAGTTAGGAAACAGAGGCCCAGTAGGTCAGCAATGGCTTAGTACGATTCACTTCACTTCCTAGTTCTCTTCATCTTGATGGTGACTGCTAAGAGGATAACTTGCGTTGTCTTTCTTTCTAGGATAAAAGCATGTTTTAGCTTTTTCTTTTAAAATTGTGCTAGTGTAATTTTCTTGTGATAAAGTAAAAGCTGCTATTACTTTGATTGTTGAATATTATTGAAAAAGAAAGTTAAAAAGTAAGCAAACTTTGTCTTGCTGTTTATGTATCAGATTTAATTAGAAATTGCATACAATAAGGGTTATAAAAATTTGAATTTGGTAATAAAATGAGTTTTTAAATTATATGAAATTATTATTTATTTATTGTTTTTCTTTACTAGACCCTAAATATAGTAACCTGGTCTCCTTGTGGACAATATTTAGCTGCAGGGAGTATTAATGGTTTAATTATAGTTTGGAATGTGGAAACCAAAGATTGCATGGAAAGGTATGATTCAGTAAATCTTTTGTCTCTTTTTTGCTTATTTCTATTAGATGTTTGTTTTTTTTATTATTAAACATTTCAAATCTGCAATCATTAGATTGTTAAAATGCAGACATATAGCTGTGTTTATCAAAACTTTTTCTAACTAAAATTTACCTAAAGAAATGTATAGCTTATATTTTCTTGACAGTGTTTTAAGAATTCACTTTTTAATTTTTAGGGTGAAACATGAGAAAGGTTATGCAATTTGTGGCCTGTCATGGCATCCTACTTGTGGTCAAATAGCTTATACTGATGCAGAAGGAAATCTGGGAGTCCTGGAGAATGTTTGTGACCCCAGTGGAAAGATGTCAAGCAGTAAGGTAATAAGTAATAGGGTAGAACAGTTTCTTCGAAGTCTTTCTGTGGTCATATGAATTTGGGAAACACCACAAACTACATTACTTTCTTTGAAAATTATAATTTATGTTATTAGATGCTCAGTGATGCTCTATCACAAAGAATGTTTAAACTTGTTTAACCTAATGTTTCCCAAATACGTTTTACTAAGGAATTTCTTTCCCTCCATATAATATCCATTAATATTTCATGGCTTTCCAAGGAATACCTTTGTGAAAAACTGTAATATTTTAGTATCCTGGTGTTCTAGGTGTTTTTAGTTAAATAAATGTTTTATAGATAAAAATTAGTTAATAACTATAACTTAGTTTAGCCTAAGTTTTCCTGTCATGAATTCCCTTAACTCTTAGAGCTATCTATATACTTCTTATGCTTAGCTGCACAGCCTGACTGAACTGCTTTAAACAGGCTGCCTTGTTTTATATTTCCTTGTTTTTGTTCATTATTTCCCCTTAGGTGCCACTTTAGCTTGCCTGAGTCCCCAAAGATTCAGAATTTGGTAGCAGTAGGTACTTAAAAGTGGGGCCGAAGGGACTTCCCTGGTGGTCCAATGGCTAAGACTCCACGCCCCCAATGCAGGGGGCCCAGGTTCGATCCCTGGTCGGGGAACTAGATCCCACATGCTGCAACTAAGAGTTTGCATGCTACAACTGAAGATCCTGTGTGCTGCAACTAAGGCCTGGTGGAGCCAAATAAATAAGTAAATATTAAAAAAAAAATAAGTGGGGCTGAAAACAGGAGGGTTGATTTAACAAGCAAGTAGATCCCTCCAGTCTCAGCAACAGTGGGCACAGCTAGGTAACTGCCCCTGTATACATTCTGGCAGAAAGCTGGAGATTTATTCTCTAAGATAAGGGAAAACAGAGGTCACTGATCCAGGGACACTGGGTACAATTGAGTGGTGTTGGGTGAAGGAGGAATACTGTACTGAAAAGGATTAAATGAAAATGTATATACTTGAATGTTGAAATTCCCAGCTCACTTTTCATACTTGGCTCCCAGGGCGTTGTCAGCCAGTCTTATGTTTTTCAGGCAGGAGATTGGAAGATCTTTGGGGAATCCGTGTAAGAAAAAACCAAAACAGAGAGATTCTTTATTTTATTTTATTTTTATTGAAGTATAGTGATTCATAATTTTTAAAGGATGTACTCCATTTATAGGTATTATAAAATATTGGCGGTATTCCCTGTTGTACATATCTGTAGCTTATTTTATACAGTATAGGTTGTGCCTTTTAATCCCCTACCCATATGTTGTCCCTCCCCCCACCCCTCTCCCCACTAGTTTGTTCTCTGTATCTGTGAGTCTGTTTCTTTTTGTTATACTCACTAGTTTGTTATATTTTTTATATTCCACATGTAAGTGATATCATATAGTATTTGTCTTTCTCTGTTTGACTTATTTCTCTTAGCATAATACCTTAAGCTCCAAGTCCATCCATGTCATTGCAAATGGCAAAATTTCATTCTTTTTTTATGGCTGAGTAGTATTCCAGTATCTATCTATCTGTCTATCTATATCACATCTTCTTTATCCATTCAGCTGTTGATGGACACTTAGGTTGGTTCTATAACTTTACAACTGTAAATAATGCTGCTATGAACATTGGGGTGCATGTATCTTTTCCAGCTAGTGTATTTGGTTTTTTTCGGATGTACACCCAGGAGTGGAATTGATGGGTCATATGGTAGTTCTATTTTTAGTTTTTTGAGAACCCTCCATACTGTTTTCCACAGTGGCTACACCAATTTACATTCCCACCAACAGTGTGGGAGGGTTCCCTTTTCTCTACATCCTTGCCAATATTGTTATTTGTGTTCCTTTTGATAATAGCCATTCTGACAGGTGTGAGGTGGTACCTCATTGTGGTTTTGATTTGCATTTCCCTGATGATTAGCAATGTTGAGCATCTTTTTGTGTGCCTGATGGCCATCTGCATTTCCTCTTTGCAAAAATGTCTATTCAGCTTTTCTGCCCTTTTTTTTTTTTTTTTGCGGTACGTGGGCCTCTCACTGTTGTGGCCTCTCCCGTTGCGGAGCACAGGCTCCAGATTCGCAGGCTCAGCGGCCATGGCGCATGGGCCCAGCTGCTCCGCGGCATGTGGGATCTTCCCGGACCGGGGCATGAACCCGTGTCCCCTGCATCGGCAGGCGGACTCTCAACCACTGCGCCACCAGGGAAGCCCTCTGCCCATTTTTTAATTGAGTTGTTTGTTTTTTTGATGTTGAGTTGTATGAGCTGTTTATGTATTTCGGATATTAACCCCTTATCGGTCATATCATTTGCAAATATTTTCTCCTATTCAGTAAGTTGTCCTTCTGTCAAAGGTTTTCTTTGCTATGCAAAAGCTTTTTGGTTTAATTAGGTTTCATTTATTTATTTTTGCTTTTATTTCCTTTGCTTTAGGGTTCAGCTATGAATAGCATTTACATGGTCATAATAAATCTAAATACTGTAAATTGATCCAAGCAAAATGAGAATATATCTATATTGGGTGGACAGGAGTAGGAGAATGGTGTATATGCATACAAGGGAAGTAGTGGTGGTTGAAAAATGGCACCAAATCCTCATCTTTCTTAACAGAAAGAAGTTAGTAACATCTATTAAATAGGTAATTAAAACTGAAAAATCAAAAAATTTCACTGGAATATGATTTACAAGTGTGGAGGAAAGTATCAAAAGAAACAGGTGAGAGCAGAGAAGTAAGTCGGAGGCTGTGCAGAGGATTGTTTTCATTTTTATATTAAATCTTACAACACTGACTAATTTATATGCATGTCTAACGTTGATAAAAAAGAAAATTAAATTGAGAAACAATTTTTAGTTCAACAACAATGTCCTGTTGTATAGCACAGGGAACTATATTCAGTAACCTGTGATAAACCATAATGGGAAAGGATATGAAAAAGAATACATATACGTATAACTGAATCAACAGAAATTAATACAACACTGTAAATCAACTATATGTCAATACAATTTTTAAAAATTACGTGCGGTACTGCGCATCCGGAGCCTGTGCTCCGCAACAGGAGAGGCCACAGCGGTGAGAGGCCTGCGTACCGCAAAAAAAAAAAAAAAAAAAAAAAATTAAAAAAATTTTAGTTTAAAGGACACCTCTTATAAAACCTTAACCCTTCTATCCAGATTTGCCCACTCTCTCCTTTTTGCTTTTACTCCTCATAGTACATGTTTCTGTTACGACACCTCTCACCGTAAGTTAAAACCCTCATTTTTGATAAGAAAGTCCGAAAAAAGTTCGTGCAGACTCAGCGGCCATGGCTTACGGGCCCAGCTGCTCCATGGCATGTGGGATCTTCCCATACCGGGGCACAAACCCGGGTCCCCTGCATCGGCAGGCGGACTCTCAACCACTGCGCCACCAGGGAAGCCCCCTCCCGAAAAAAGTTTTTGACCAACTTGAGTGCATAAACTTTTAGGACTATGGATAAAATAGTTAAATATCTTCTTATAGCATTTATCAATAGTTATTAATTTAATTATTCAAATCATTTGTTTAAACATATGAATTTAGAAGTATTTTTTCTGTTCTCTCATTTCTTTAAATGTCAACTTTCCAGAACACAGTTATATGCACTTCCATCTAAAAGATTTGTGATATAGTCCCTTTTGAATCCATTAATGGTGTTCTCATTAGACTTTTATACCCAACTATAAGTTTCCATTGACTTAACATTGTACAGTTTTTATTCATTCTGTAGGAATAATTGTGATCCTTACAATGTATCTGCTTACTATTCACTTTTTATAGTGATCTCAAAAATTGTTTACAGTGACATCCAGTACTTGCAATGATATGTTCATATTCCTAGGAATCAATGATTAATGTTGGATTTATTTGCCACTTATGCTTTTCTTTTGGTTCTATTTGTTTACTTCTATAAGCATCAAAAAATACCCCAAAGACGAGCTTTAACTGAGATCATTTAAAGTAAACATCTTACCTAAGCAGTATCTTGTTCAAAATAAAAGTAAATGAGAGAATATCTTATAATGAGAGACTTTGTAAGGACTCATAGGTGACTTCTTTTCTGGAGAATGATTGTGAGGAATAAAATCTTACTTTATATTTGGGTATACACATGTATTTCTTTACATGTCTGTCTTATACTTCCACCTTATCCGTAGACTATAGGCATTTAAAGTAAGGACTCGGTCTTATATAAATATAATACAATCCTCATAAACATATTTGCTAATTATTTTTACCAAGGCACTTGCTTACTTGGTAGAGTTTATAGGTGCATATTAAAAGATTGCCTTTTGAGTAATTGTGTTTAACTAAGTAGTTCACTAATACTTTCGAATTTGTATTAATTTGTTCAAGGTATCTAGCAGAGTAGAAAAGGTTTATAATGATCTTTTTGATGGAGAAGATACAAGTAGTGCTGGTGATTTTCTAAATGACAATGCAGTCGAAACCCGCTCTTTTTCGAAAGGGATTATAAATGATGAGGAAGATGATGATGACCTCATGCTGGCTTCAGGTCGTCCTAGACAGCGAAGTCATATCCTAGAAGATGATGAAAACTCAGTTGGTATGAATTGACTTTGTGAATGTGATGATCCATCTTACTGATCAATATTTTCAATTTTTTATTAAAACTATTATTTAAAGTCAGTACTGGATTGGTAGAATGTAGCTATAGCATTAAATACGTATGTTGAAAAAGGTTTCAAAACAATGATCTAAGCTTCTGCTTTAGCAAACTAGAAAAAGAAGAGGAAATTAAACCCCAAGCGAGTAAAAGGAAGGAAATGATAAAGAACAGAATTCAATGAAATTGACGACCAAAAGCTATAGAAAAGTCAGTAAAAACGAAAGCTTATTCTTTGAAAAGATCAATAAAACTGATAAATCTCTATCCTGATTGATCAAGAAAGAAAGACACAAATGACTAATATAAGAAATGAAAGGGGTATCATCACCGTGTATTCCATAGACCTTCACTATCGAATATGATAGCCACTAGCCACTTATGGCTTTTGAGCACTTAAAATGTGGCTAGTTCAAATTGAGGTGTGTTTTAAGTATAAAATGCAACCAGATTTTGAAGACAGTACAAAAAAGAGAATGTAAAATATCTTGGTCATTTTTTACATTGAGTACATGTTGAAATTATATTTTAAATGCAGTATATTATTACAATTAATTACACCTGTTTCTTTTTACTATTTATGGCTACTAGAAAATTTTAAATTACATATGTAACTCACATTATATTTCTGTAAGATAGCACTGCTATTAATAACAAAAGTTTAATAGGTGAATATTATGAACAACTTTCTGTCCATAAATTCAACAACTTAGATAAAATAGGTAAATTCTTTGAAAGACACAGACTACCAAGCTAACTCAAGAAATAGGTAACCTGGCCGCAACTAAAAGATCCTGCGTGCTGCAACTGAAGATCCAACACGTGGCAACTAAGACCCGGTGCAGCCAATTAAATAAATAAATAAATGTTAAAAATTTTTAAACAAAAAAAAATAGGTAACCTGAATAGTTTGGTATCTGTTAAAGATATTGGGATTGTAATGAAAAACCTTTAAATAAAGTGACTGTTACAACTTATATGCTAAAATTAACACATTTGAACATTACCAAGTGAAATGCCAGTGTACAGTGGTAAGTTATGCTGCATTTATAGCATATAGGGTTTATAGGATAGCGCTCCTCAAATGTTTGGTTTCAGGAGCTCATTACATTCCTAAAATTTTTTGAGGACCCCAAAGAAAATTGTTTGTGGAGTTATATTTATTGTTATTTACTGTGTTAGAAATTAAAACTGAGAAATTTTTAAAATATTCATTTTAAAGTAATATTAATAAACTCATTATATGTAAATGAAAATAACATTTTTTTATGAAAATAAAACAACTCTAGAAAAATGATATTATTTTACCATTTTGCAGATCTTAGCATAGAAGACAGCTGGATTCTTTCATGTGCTTCAGGATTCAGTCTACTGCCATATATTTGTTTTTGTTTGAAGTATGTGAAAAAAATTTAGCCTCACACAATATGTAGTTTGAAAAAGGAGAAGTATTTTAATAGCCTATTGAAAGAATTGCGGATATTCTTCTTCGATGTTGCACCAAAACGCAACAAATGATAATTTCTTAAAGATTATTTGCAATGTGGAATCTGAAAACCTTTTGGTGAACTTTTCAACTCTATTATTACATTAAAATCCATTGGTCTAACTTGAATGGATCTTTTGCCATGTTTGATTTTTTCACATATGCATTGTTAATTTGGAAAATACTGTTTCCTGAGCTTTGCAGACCTTCCTAATATTGACACGTTATCCAGAATAATATTTGTTAGTATCATCGCCAATCTCATCAGAAGTTTTTAAATATTACAAAGCAGTCAAGCTCATGGTGGCAGATACACGTTTTTCACTATTCTGATTTTCGCTTGAAAGCTCCAATTTTATCATTGACCACAAATTCTGTCAGTTATTGTTCTTAAATGACCAGCTTACTTCATTTTTAAGAAAATGTTTGCCACATACTTGATAAACCATAGTTTATCTGGTATTTCCAATAAAAATGGTGTCACATGAAAAAATTAGCTAGTTCAGCTTACAACTCCATTGCAGAATTGCTTTTTCTTTTGAGACAACCATCACAGTTCTTTTTTTTTTTTTTTTTT